GTGTAATTTATGGCAATGCTGGGGTTGCTGTGTCACCCACATCCCATTTAAACATTATTTTGAAATAAAATGAGCAGTGAATTCATGACCGGTGAAGTATCTGGTATTATATTACTATGATCTATATGGAGCCAGGATAATTCTTTAAACAACTATATAGTACATGGCACTAATCTACATAATAAGGATACCGACTTCTCTGGAGACAAACGTATATTAAGTTAGACTGATAACCTAAACAAAATTGAAAATGCATATCTTGAGGGTAATTTAAGTATTGATGTAATCTCTGCTCTCGAAACCACTTATCAGGGAATTTAAATGTACTGTTAGAAGTAGAAAGTAGAGGCGTTTATGACCTTACAGATTGTTAATTACTGTTTCAAGCATTGTCAATATCGATATGACTTACACAATAATATTCTATTGCATTCAAATTAACGATCTTTGTTAATTGTGCAAAATTAATGGACGAATTTTTTTTTAATATCAATTTTTCGACGGTACCATATTATCAGACACAGACAGTGACCACTAATGGGCGGATCTCATTAAACTCGCAATCTGGGGAACAAACATGAAAATGGCCTTTTATTCCGATAAAGGAATGTACTAACAATATCTAGAAAACGCAAACCTATTGTGAGAGATTAAACACAGCATGGCCACATCCTTCAGTCTGTAAAGTCTTCTATATATCTAGGTAGTACCATCAGTTCAGATAGGAAAATAAACGAACATATCAAAAACATATGTAAAAAAGCAAACAAGACAATAGGATTTCTGAAACGGTGTCTTAATGTGAACAACACCACCATAAAGGAAACTGCACACAAATCTCTAATTAGACCAACATTAGAGTATGCATAACAGTCTTGGAACACTTTCCAGCATACCAACAAACACCGGCTGGAAATGGTACAAAAAAGAGCAGCAAGATATGTCACTAGCAGATATCACAACACCTCATCTGTTAGTGACATGCTTAAGCAACTTGTATCGAAAACCCTTGAAGATCGAAGGAAAATATCCAGACTCACAATGTACAAACTTGCCAACGGTATGGTCAATGTTGACATCGAAAACATTCTCACACTACCACACATACTATCCCGTAACATAAACATCAGCGGTTTCCAAGTACCATCGTGGAGAACAGAAGTGAGGAAAAATCTTTTTATCCAAGAACAATATGAGACTGGAACGCCAAACCGCATGCCGTCACCAGTCATGGTAGTCTTGAATGTTTCAAGACTCACCTACATGACGATCTAGACCACCGTCTATGATGTTATTGACCTCACTGTATATAGAATGTATTATACCACAATCCTTTCTTTTTCCGTATAAATTATTTACCTGCGCATCCAAAAGTAGCAGAATAATCAGTTTATTGATGGTGACCGTGTAATGGTAGAAGTAGAAGTATCTATCGTTCATGACATGTTTACACGAGTAAAAGAGAAACTGACAATATTGCGCTTAAATAACCTACGACAAACTGCATAAAAAGTGTCATGCTCTAAAGAGCCAGTGTCGCTTACCTAGGTATATATTCATATTAAACAATGGACACCTTCCAACTTTGTGGACTAGAATGAAGTTCATGACGAAAATATCTTTTTTGTCGATCTTGTATTGCTGATCATTATTTTTCTATTTGTCATGTTTACACTTTCTCTCTAGCTTCTTTAGTGTTTGCCCAAAACACAAAAAAGGCTAAAATAACCAATCTAAAGATTCTACTAAAGATTTCGGCAGATCTTGTCTTGCTGATCATTTTTGCTATTTTTCTTTTATAGTTTTCAAGATAATAGGCAAACACGTAAAATATTGGTAAAAATTGTAATTAAAGAGCAATAGCTTCAATAAGAAGTCGACTGACGATTTCAGTCATTTGACTTATTTGTAGATATTGTCTTGCTGATTATTTTTGATATTTAAAGTGGCTATCTATCTTTAATAATTTTCAAGATAAGAGGCAGAACACTAGAATTGGATAGAAATTGTCATAAAGGAGCAATAACTCCAATAAGGAGTGAATTGACGATTTCGGCAGTCGGCAGGTAGACTTATATTTAGATTCCGTTTTGCGGATCATTTTTACCTTTCAAGGTTTTTATCTTTCTATCTATTATAGACTTTCAGATAATAGGCAAAAAAGCAAAAAATAAATGGTCAAAATCGTCACTAAAGGACAGTAACTCCAATAAAGGGTCCACTGACAATTTCAACAATGCCAACTTATTTATAGATTTTGTCTTGCTGATAATTTTTGCTTATTTAAGTTTCTACCTATCTATTATAGTTTTTCAAATAAAAGCCTAAAAGGCAAAAAATTGACATGTTCACTTATTTATAGATCTTGTCTTGCTGATATTTTTTGCTTATTGAAGTTTCTATCTATTACAATTTTCAGGATACTAGGCAAAAATGGGACAAAAAATGGTAAAACTCTTCATAAAGGACAACAACTATAATAAGTCAGTTTTCAAGATAACAGACAAAACTTTTTTATCCCTATGTTCTATTTATAGCCATGTCGGCCATGTTGGTTAGCAGGCAAGGTCATTGGACACATGTTATTTAAACTACATACCCTAGTGATGATTGTGGCCAAGTTTGGTTGAATTTGGCCCAGTAGTTTCTGAGGAGAAGATCTTTGTAAAAGCTAACGACGACTGACGACGGACGTCAAGTGATAGGAAAAGCTCATTTGGCCCTCTGGACCAGTTGAGCTAAAATAAGAAGATGTGGTATGATTGCGAATGAGACTATTTTCCACCAGATGCCAAATAATTACAAGTATGTCAAACTAGTTAAAAAATAGTCCTCGATGTGAACGCACTATGTCAGCTTGAATGGAAAAAGTCATATAACAAATTGTATAAAAAAAAAATTTCATGTGAAAGTATTACGTCAGAATATATTCAACTAGCCATTCGTGTGAAAATACTCCGTCAAATTTAAATAAAAAAGTCCTTAATGTGAAAGTTCTATGTCAATTTGTATTAGAATAATCCATCTTGTGTAAGTTCTATTATATAAAAAAAATGCACATGACAGCACTAGTACAACGTTAAAATGAATTAAAAAAAGTCATTCATGTTAAAATTGACCTTCAGTAATGTAACAGTCCTACGTTAAACTATATTAAATACCCCTTCATGTGAAAGGACTATATCTAAATTGTATAATAATAGTCCTTGTGTATCTGTTATCCAGGAGAACACTACCACGTTACTTAAATCTGCAATACAAATTCATCCAGACATACTTTTGCTTTAAATGAAACAGAATTATAGTCTAGAGTTGGATTGATTAGGTTTTTTGCATTTATGGTATACATACTTGTCTGTTTTAAGGGCCGTAAATTGACCTCGAGACGACGTTTCTGCTTTAGCTTGATGTGTTAATGTATTTGAGGCAGTGCTCGCATTTCCTTGAATCCCTGTTTTCAATACGTAAAACAAATGTGATATACAACAACAAACAAACGCTGAATTACAGGCACGCGACTTGGGACAGGCACATACAGAATGTGGCGGGGTTTAACATGTTTGTTGGCGCCAAACCCTCCTCATCACCTGGGGCAGTGGTGTAACAGTACAACATAAGAACAAACTATAAAAATCAGTCGAAAAGGGTTTGACTCGTCAGATCGATACAAAACACATAAAAACCCTAACAAAACATAAAAGACACAAAGCACAGATATGAGAGTACTCGCAGTTACTAAAAGCTAGTTCAAAGCTCCACTAAACACTACTGAGAAAGCTAAAGACTGATCAACACTGTTTGCTGTATTGATCCATATAGTGTACTCTCCTATCTATTATATACTTTTAAAAGTTTGCGTAGGATTGTTGTTCATTTATTTCGGTTTTCATGTACATGTGACTTGTATATACATGTATAGGACAGAATCACTTAACTGATAGAAACCAATAAAGCTACTACATGTAACCAAAACTTATTTCTTATGTTTGTGTATCTTACATATAATGTTGTATGTACTAGTTAACTGGTGTTTTGAAATGATTAACTAAAACTATAAACAATTAATATATTATTTATTCTATATGAATACCTATTAACAAGAAATAATGTTCAGCTGGTCGTTATATTCATTCTAATATATACACTGATAATGTCTTAATCAATTTGTATATCCGTAGGTGTTTCTTGGTGGCGCAAATGGTTTTTGGTTTTCATATATATTCTTTTTTTTCTATTCATGGTTCACTTAAATCTCAAATTCTCGACTACTTTTCTTCACGAAAAAGATAAGATAATAAAGATATTTGTTCCCAGTGAGCAAGACAGCCTCTTTCGGTACAAAAACGAAACATTTAATAAAAAATATAAAAAAAAACGTAAAATGGGACTTATGTGTAATTTGAAAATACAAAAGTAACTATTAAAGTATGAATCAAAACTTTCTGATAGCAGTTCATGCTTCTTTACATTTATACAAAAAAATGTTTGTCATGATACATGTTTCTAGAGAGTTGACAATTACAATTTTATCAGCTTACTAAATTTTTAAACATAGATTCCTTGCATTTTGTACAGCATCTCGGAATTTTATATACAATCCAAACTTAAAGCAGAAAAAGAATATGTTGGCAACATGACCAGATACCTAACATATCATGAACGAAGGATGGGATAGAAGATGAATGATTGAATAGTTAGATGTCCTTTTCTTATTTGGACAATCTCCCAAGTGATTATCTAATGGCGTCTTGATAGTAAACAGATGGTCATTTCAATTAGGTGTTGTATGAATGTTCTCTAGTTTGCCTTGATCATTAAGTGAAGAGATGAGAGAATGATATACTATCCACCAAGTTTAACATCAATATCGACAAACAAGTCTAACAATTAATGCACCAATATTTATCAACACATTCCTCAATTCTTCAAGGAGTCAAGGTTACCTCAGATTTCTATGAATATATAGTCGTCAAATATTACTTAAAACGCTTGAAAGATTCAATTGTCGACGTCTAAAGTGTCGTCAGCACTGGTTTCATCAACTATTTTTCAACTATTTTTCAAGACTTTTCTAATCTAGTTTCTTATGTGTTGTTCTTATTAATAACTTTAGTTTTCAATAATTTCGGGACAGGCGAACATCTTCTTGTCGTTTTTCAAGTTTATACTTAAAGCAGGCGCTGACATTCTTCGTCCGCGCAGTCGTATAGCACGGTCGATGACAGGAGGGACATCATATTGTATAGATGCACGTGATCCTCTGCGTCTGTGACAGTAAATCACAGTTGTTTCACTTTGTGATTCATCAGAATCTACACTGTTTATAGATAGAGTACTTGTATTTATGTTGTCTGTGTGGTTGTTAACGAAAGCTTGAAAAGCTTCATCTAGAATTTCTTCTGACACTCCACGATTGGCCCAGATACAGGTCACTCCTGAAATAGATTTAAACTTTACAAAATTTTCGGCAAAACAAAATCTAAATTTCTTAGAAAACGGAAAATCGGAAAATCTTGCACCACTAATCATTTTTTTTTAAACTGGCACAAAACTACAATTTGGTTTGCTTCAATGTTTGAATTTCTTTTTTTTTCTGTAATATCTATTTACGATAAAAATGGTTATCCCCGCCAAATTGTGTGCCTGTACCAAGTAAGGCTAGTATCTGGACCATGTGTTGTCCGTTGTTGTTTGTCTTTGTTTGTATATGTTTTTTAGAATGTTGGTGTTGATATGGTTTGGTTGTACTGTACAATATTTTGGCTTGTATATATTTTTTAGGATATTGGTGTTGATATGGTTTGGTTGTACTGTACAATATGTTGGTGTGTATATATTTTTTAGGATATTGGTGTTGATATGGTTTGGTTGTACTGTACAATATGTTGGTGTGTATATATTTTTTAGAATGTTGGTGTTGCATGATATGGTTTGGTTGTACTGTACAATATTTTGGTTTGTATATATTTTTTTAGAATGTTGGTGTTGCATGATATGTTTTGGTTGTACTGTACAATATGTTGGTGTGTATATATTTTTTAGAATGTTGGTGTTGCATGATATGGTTTGGTTGTACTGTACAATATTTTGGTTTGTATATATTTTTTTAGAATGTTGGTGTTGCATGATATGTTTTGGTTGTACTGTACAATAGTTTGGTTTGTATATATTTTATTAGAATGTTGGTGTTGCATGATATGGTTTGGTTGTACTGTACAATATTTTGGTTTATTTGTATTTTTTTAGAATGTTGGTGTTGCATGATATGTTTTGGTTGTACTGTACAATATTTTGGTTTGTATATATTTTTTAGAATGTAGGTGTTGCATGATATGTTTTGGTTGTACTGTACAATATTTTGGTATGTATATATTTTTTGTCATGATATTGGTGTTGATATGGTATGGTTGTACTGTACAATATTTTGGGTGTGTCTATTGTCCTTTTTATGTAGTATTGATTTTGTACAAACGTTGACATGCATTGAAGAAGAATTATGACAAAGTGAATCGTTGGTTTTGTTAAGCTTTATCTTATTACACGATGGCGATCTTTATGATGTTTTACTATTCCCCTTCTTAACCTGCTTCAGTTGAAAACTTGACAGATGTCGTTAAACTTAGCTTGTGCAAACACTTATACCAAATATTAGAAACCATTTAGTAAAAGATCAACTCTCCACAAGTTCAGAAAAATAGAGTATTTTTATTTTTTGTGTTGGTCTGAAAACTGAAATTAAATTCTTCTTTTGAAATAAATGAGTACAAATATGTTACCTAAACACGTATGTGCTACTTCAGAGAGATGATCTCTCTCATCGTCAAAGAACATCATATCTGGAAACTCAATCCCACTTTCTTTTTTAATTCTGGAAAAAACATTAAATCTGTTCGTTAAAAGAGAATAAGTAATAACTATCAAATCAGTAAGATCTTCTTATATCAGTTATTATCTTAATGTACACGTTGTTTAGATTTAAGGTCAGTATATTGTGTATCAAAATACGTAGGTTCATTAACTTGAAATTCTTTTCTGTTTATTTTTTCTTGTGGTTTTCATGTCCGTTAGAAAGGTTTATTTCCGATTTCATCAATTTAAAAAAAAATATGGGCAAACGCTCGTCCATATAAATGTCTGTGTTCAGTAAGAGAGATGAACCATTGGCAATAAGACATGTCCCGATCTTTGTCAAATCAGACATCTGTATGCAGAACAGGTCTTCAATTAAGCACCATAATACTTAGTTCATATACAGTTTTCTATATACATTCATCATAGATACCGGGCATCCTCGTTTCGTCCACAAAAGACTCGTCAGTGACGCTCGGATCAAAAAAGTTAAAAAGGCCAAATAATCCAAGAAGTTGAAGAGTATTGAGGACCCAAAATTCCGAAAGGATTTTCCAAATACAGCTTAGGTTATCTATCCCAGGGGTTGAAAATTCTTTGTATTTCGAAAAATTCAAAGTTGTGTAAACAGGTAATTTATGACCATATATCTTTACTTCTAAATGTTTAGATTTAGAATATCTTAGTTTTATTGATGACATACGTACTTTTACTAGAAATCATCTAATGTATTACTCTGTGTCCTATTTTGTTTAAAGATGAATTTTCGTGCAATTGTGGAAGATATGCTTATCGTCACTTCAAACACTCAAAATACGATAAACACTGTTTTGACATTGGCAAGGATTTGAATATTACATACATCTTAAAGATTCTTAGCAGATACATTTTTCAAAAAAATAAGGTAGCAACTCCCTCGGGAAAAGGAAGGTCCTACAAAGTAGGCTAACATCGTTTTCCAATAATTTACACTTCAGCATCGATTGCAAAGAATATAGTACGATTTGTCCTAAAATTCTTCGCAGTCAAAATAATATTTAGTTTCACAAATAAAACATGAAAACTGGGAACTGGAACTGTATTTCTATAGGTAGCCTGTGGCAATGCAAAATGTCGGTCCCTATCCAACATACTCTCATATTCCAGTGGCAGTACAACACGCGCAGTACAAATTTCCGCCTTTCATTCTACTTTGTAGGACCTTCCTTTTGCAGGATTAGTTAATCAATTTGTTCTCGTCATGAAAAGGCATGAAATATTTGTCATTGGACGTTAAGCAAGCACGCAACAAGTAGTCAAGCAATCAATCAATTTAAAACGATTTAAACAGGATATATAGATGTATCTCATTACACTAAGATTAACAAAATTACTGTTGATCAAATCAGATTTGACTTACTGTAAGAAATGAGTAATTTTTGATCCCGGGTAGATTTCTATGTAGTCAAAATATTCATCCCAACCAAAGTAAGATACAAGTCGTCTTGTTTCGTCTTTATAGAAAGCCCTACAAAAGTAACATACCTGTATGTACAAACACTTTTATCATAACGGCATTAAAGAATATTGTATTTTCATGAAAAGATTCATAAATGCTACTTAAAAAAATCATATCGAATTGAAAGAATTCATAAATGCTACTTAAAAAAATCATATCGATTTGAAAGAATTCAAATTCAAAACATAATCTTATACACTTGAAATATACAAGGAACGGCAAATTGTTCCCATTCTCTTTTTATCTACGAAACATGAGAAATCATATAGAAACAATCTACAAATATTCTTGAAAAACAATGTTATTCTTCTTGAGCTTCGTTAAAATAAAAATGAAAAAGGAAGCGCTTTGTTATTGTTTATTTAGTATCAGCAGATATCTACCATGTAAACCTACACCTGGGCATTCTTCAGAGAAGCAATCAAACATGTTCTAACGTATTTGTATATAAAAGAAACTGTCAAAATGATAAAGTTATATGAAAGAAGTTAAGAGAGCATCTTTTTCTATCATAATAAAATCTAAATCATCCGCAATCAAGATTTATCTGCAGTAAAAAAATGGAAGGCTAGTGATCATTTTCAAAGATATTATAGTATTAAATCAATACAAACTTCATCTTTAAACACTAATGTGTTGTTTTAGTATTTTATCAAAGGAATGTTAGTCAAAACATGAATATATGAAAATAGGTGGTCTTATCTAAATCCATCTGTATGTTAAATATGTTAAATATAATGCTAGTAATCCCCAAGCATTCAAATATATAACCTAAGGCGCCAACTTTATATAAGTGTCAGATTTAAAACAAAGCAATTTGTCTGAAAATTTGATTCCCTGGATTTGAACTACCATGATATACAGTACAAAACTTGTTTTAGCTTAAAATAAGACACAATCCATTTCACTTTTCGGGCAATAAAATGGTCAGTTATTAAAGTTACATGAAATATTTAACTTATACTTAAAGTCAGTATCATAGTTAGTTTTCCGATTTGTTTTTTACATAAATGCAAATTGTCCGAAAACGAGTAAATTAACAGAAAAATCTAAAAGTTTTTCCATCGAAAAACAGTATCCGTTTCATATCCCCTGTTCACCTTCTCCTTTTCCCACCATAAACAACAAACAAACAAACACAAACAAATCACCATACACGTACAAGAAAAAAAAAAAAAAAAAAAAAAAAAAAAAAAAAAAAAAAAACAGGATAACCACTGACGAGGTTTGGCGGGGTTAAAGTAGTGTTTTTATTAAATGTTTTAACGTTAGTACAATGTCTTTCATTGTTAACGGTATATTGTAAGTATCTATGACGTATTAATGTTCGATGTATGCGATAATTCAAATGCCTTTGTAAATAAGTATATACTTAAATGTATTAATCTGGGATTTTATATCGAATCTTTTTTGCACCTCAAATCTGTTTCTTATTCAAAAATCCATTTTAGCCTAATGTTTTTGGTATGTTAGACAAACACATTGCATAATACAATAATGCATATGACAATAAAATAACGCTGATGTACCGTGCCCTGCCAAATTGCTGTGCAATAAAGTGGGATAAAATATGTGATTGTACTGGTATCCTAGCTCTAAAATGACTTTCAACAATAATTTATAGCATTGAAATCCTAGTAACAGGAAATTAATCTCGGAAATTAATCAATGTTCGACATCATTTTAAAATTACCTATGTCAAGTCTTTATTGAAATAACATTAGTTATGTAATATTTTTGATTATTTTGTAATAAATTTCTGGTTTTGCTTTTTTTATTTTTCTTAAAAACTTACTCTGAGGCGATTGCTAATTTGTAACCATCACCGTGTAATTTCAATATAATATGATCTATATCTGGAAAGGATTTGATCTCCCTACTGTTGGCGTCAAACACTTTACCGTCACTGAAATATAGAGAAAACACACTTTCATAGAGTAAACACTGTAATTAAATAAACACTTTATCGTCACTAAAATAGAGAAAACACTTTATTGTAGAGAAAACACTAAACCGTCACTGAAATAACTGAAGGAGAAAACACACTTTCATAAAGTAAACACTGAAATTAGATAAACACTTTACCGTCACTAAAATAGAGAAAACACTTTATTGTAGAGAAAACACTTAACCGTCACTGAAATAAGGAGAAAACACACTTTCATAAAGTAAACACTGAAATTAGATAAACGCTTTATTGTCACTGAAATAGAGAAAAACGTTTATCGTAGAGAACAATTAATATAAATCGTCACTGAAATATAGTAAAAACACTTTTATAGGGTACACACTGAATGAAGATAAACGCTTTAGCGCAGAGAAAAATGTCGTCGTAGAGAAAATACTGTATCGTTATTGACATATAAATGTATAGAGAAAACACACTTTCACAGCGTGAAAACTGAGATAAAATAAACACTTATTTTCACTGAAATACAGAAAACACTTGCGAAGAAAAACATTTTAGAGGAAAGAATTTCGTAGAGAAAACACTTGATCTTACTGAAAACTGAAAACACTTTATCGTCGCTGAAATAGAGAGAAAACACTTTATCTTATTGAAAACTCTTTATCGTCGCTGAAATAGAGAGAAAACACCCTTGTCATAGAGTAAACAAACACTTTATTGTCACTGGAAAAGAGAGAAATAATACCCTTGTCATAGAGTAAACACTGAAACAAAACAACGCCTTATCGTCACTGAAATAGAGAGAAAAAAATCCATAGAGTAAAGAATGAAATAAAATAAACACTTTATCGTCAATGAAATAGAGAAAACACTTTTGTGAAGAGAAAAATTACATCTTAGAGAAAATATTTTATCGTCACTGCAATACAAAAACCCATTTTCGCTACAAAAACGGAGAAAGCTCTTCATTGCCAATAACACTTATTTCTAGGAATAGAATATAAGAACCAATCAATTTTTCGGATGTAAAATTGAGAATGGAAATGGGGAATGTGTCAAAGAGACAACAACCCGACCATAGAACAGACAACAGCAGAAGGTCACCAACAGGTCTTCAATGCAGCGAGAAATTCCCGCACCCGGAGGCGTCCTTCAGCTGGCCCCTAAACAAATATATATACTAGTTCAGTGATAATGAACGCCATACTAAACTCCAAATTGTACACAAGAAACTAAAATTAAAAATAATACAAGACTAACAAAGGCTAGAGACTCCTGACTTGGGACAGGCGCAAAAATGCGGCGGGGTTAAACATGTTTATGAGATCTCAACCCTCCCCCTATACCTCTAGCCAATGTAGAAAAGTGAAATTTATTGTTTGTAAATTAGACACATTACTTTACTGTGCCTGTACCAAGTCAGGAATATGACAGTTGTTTTCCTTTCGTTTGATGTGTTTGAGCTTTTGGTTTTGCCATTTGATAAGGGACTCAGTTCCGTTTTGAATTTTCCTTAGAGTTCGGTATTTTTGTTATTTTACTTTTAACTTTGGGTCTTTTTCAGTTTTATCAGCATTTCAACATTTGTTTTAGATCTTGGATTTTCAAATAGTTTGGCCCCGATTATCACTGAAGAAACATTAAACGTCGAAATACATAATAGGTCCGGGTACACAGTTATCGTCCTTTGATTTTCGTTGTCCACGAATATAGTCCCTAGTGTGGACAGTGTGTTACTTGTCGATTTTTTTTATACCCCTTCCAAATTTATTTCTCCATGTTTTATGACTCAAATAGTAAGTAGTGGGGTGAAATGACACTGTAAAAAAATTTGGGTCATGAATTTTAAAGTAAAGTAGTGATTTGGTCCAGCTGAAAAAGGTTAAAAATTAGCACTTCGGAAGCTGTCAAAAGATTTCAAGACCCCCTTAACATAGAATTGTCCATATTTTGAGTTAGAGCCGATGAAGTTTTCTATAATTTTGATATAATTTGTCCCAAAAGTAGTACAACACACTGTAAAAATATTATTGAGAAAGCGCAGGTGGGATTTTTTTAATTTTCATTTATTCTCTAAAAGAAATGCACTACGAAATAACTGTGTACTCGGACCTAAGAGGTGAAATCAGGAAATATAGAATCTGTACTTTGGCAACTTCCCTGAATGATTTGATGGTGTCAATTTATCAAATAGCATAAAACTAAAGGATTTAAACTTTTATTTGATAGAATTTCTGCAAAAATGACCAATTTTGGCATTTTATGGTCAAAATAAGCATTTCATAGCTTTTTCAATTTTGATGCATAAGTGGCATTCTGACTTTCTATCTGACAGGTTTTTATGTGTCAATATTTGTGTTTCTATGCTTCAATCCAGTTGTATTACTCATTTGTGAACTCTGAATCTACAGAAAAGAAGATTATCTCGGACAATATGTTCAAAATGTGTTGTATATATGATCCTCGTCTAACGCCCTGTTTGGATCATGTTAAATGTGAGGAGCTTGGAACATAAAAGTTGAAGTCCTTTATAAAGACCTCACTAAATTTGTATAAAAAGCACTTAACAATGTCTTTTGTACCTGTTTTATGTCACATAATATCTTTCTTTTCTTCTGTAGGATAGCAAGTGGTTCAAATATAAGCCTGTTGAGACTAAAATTGCATGCATGTTTTTCACTAAAAAGTGAAAAATCTTTGTATCAGACCATACTGTCTGCAAAAAAAGTTGAATGCAAGAGTCTTTTTGTGCTCAGATTTATTGTATCATGTCACCTGAGTATAAAAATGATAGAAAAGACACAAAATTTTATTTCCTATAGCTTCAATATGCATTTTTAAATGTAAATATGTGATACGGCCTAAATTGACCCTAAATTATTTTCAGTCTTACTTGGCCTAAGACCCTTTTAAACTAATGTGATATGTTATTTGTAAGTTTTCTTTCCATTTATAGTACATTAAATACATATGTAAGGATTATTTATAACCAAAAAGCTTTACAAATTTAAAATTGCTGGAAAATATTACATCTTCAAGTAAGGCCCCCCTTCATTGGAAAACCTCCATTTTTAGCCACAGGCTCTTATAAATTTAACTTTTTAATAATTATGATAAGTCTGATAAATCAAATGAGTACTCTATTGCTTTTAATATATAATATATTATATATTAAGGCATTTCAAAAGTATTTTTTTGCAATATTTTATTTTTTTAAGCCCCAAATGTTGATAGTTGAAAATTTTCAATTTTAACGTCTAAATTTAACACGCAAAGTTGAATATAGAATTAGTCATATTGTCTATAATATATATCCTATTGCCATGAAACTTTGTAAGCAGTCTTATAATTTAATAAGCTTTGGTCATACCAAGTTTCATTAAGATTGGTCAACTTTTTTTACCCTAATAGGTCCGGGTACACAGTTATCGTCCTTTGATTTTCGTTGTCCACGAATATAGTCCCTAGTGTGGACAGTGTGTTACTTGTCGATTTTTTTTATACCCCTTCCAAATTTATTTCTCCATGTTTTATGACTCAAATAGTAAGTAGTGGGGTGAAATGACACTGTAAAAAAATTTGGGTCATGAATTTTAAAGTAAAGTAGTGATTTGGTCCAGCTGAAAAAGGTTAAAAATTAGCACTTCGGAAGCTGTCAAAAGATTTCAAGACCCCCTTAACATAGAATTGTCCATATTTTGAGTTAGAGCCGATGAAGTTTTCTATAATTTTGATATAATTTGTCCCAAAAGTAGTACAACACACTGTAAAAATATTATTGAGAAAGCGCAGGTGGGATTTTTTTAATTTTCATTTATTCTCTAAAAGAAATGCACTACGAAATAACTGTGTACTCGGACCTAAGACTGTGCAGTAAAATTGGTATCGACAATGTTATTATTTTTAAATGAAAACATTTTATGGTTTAAAAAAAAAAACACTTTTCAATCACTGAATATATGAATAATATTAATTCCTTAACTGTCCCTGATAAAGGGAAAACGCTTTTCCTGAGGAAAAATTCCCCCTTGAACTATAGAAATAGTACATAGTCACTGAAAAATTGAACATATATAATATCATTGAAATTTGAAGGAAAAAAACCAACAACACTCTACAATAACTTCGTAAAACAGACACTTCTTCCTTTTCTAACTAGAGAACACACTTTACCATCTTTATAATTAAGACAACACTCTACAATAACTTCGAACTGGAGAACACGCTTAACCATAAAACACTTGTCATTTTGCTTTATTCTAACATCGGACTCGGACTTCTTTTGAACTGAATTTTGCTGTGAGTTTTACTGTCTGTTTGTTTATTCCACATAGAGGTATAGGGGGAGGGTTGAGATCTCATAAAACATGTTTAACCCCGCTGCATTTTTGCGCCTGTCCCAAGTCAGGAACCTCTGGCCTTTGTTAGTCTTGTATGGTTTTTTTTAATTTTGTTTCATTTATGTGTTTCGGAGTTTTGTGTGACGTCCATTTTCGCTGAACTCTTATTGTTAAGGAGTCAGCTGAAGCCCGCCTCCGGGTGCGGGATTTTCTCGCTGTGTTGAAGACCCATTGGTGGCCTTGGACTGTTTTCTGCTCTTTGGTCGGGTTGTTGTCTCTTTGACGCATTCCCCGTTTCCATTCTCAATTTTATTTTTACTTTACTGTACCCTAAATAAAGACTACACTTAATCGTCCCTTAAAATGGGGAATAAAGAACCATCCATAAAACAAACTATATTATTTGTGTAATAGAGGAAACATTAGGAATCCATACATTCGCGAAAGAGAGATACCAAACTGTTGCTGTCGATTTATAACGAAACACATGGAAATACAGAACATTTTACCATCATAGAAATGAAAAAAAAACTTATTATCGATGTGTGAATAAAGAAAGATTTTTTTATTAAAGAAATAGGAAAATAGTATAGAACACTCTAATAGCAATGGTCAGGGAATAAAGGGAACACTTTACTGGTACGACAAAACGAGACTCTCGATATGTTAACACTTGTTTCTAGTAACGATATACGAAACGCATTGAACTTTTCCATAATGAAATACTTCATATAATCAGCTAACACCAAATAATTCAAAGGCTTGGACTCAAATTAAGAAAGAAACAGAACAGCCTTTAACAGTTCATCATTGTCAAAACCTCTAACAAAACGGAAACAGAAGAGAGTATACAACAGTTGTGAATAGGTATATATCACTTCCATGCAAGCGAATCTAAATAGTTATGTTGTCATTAAGGAGATCAACAACAGATTGAACTCTTCTGGTTGAATAATTGTAAATGTCTCCATCTACTTTCGTACGTTATTTATGTAATTGTATTGTAATATGTATAATTATATCTAAACCTTTGCAATTTGGTTTGTTATTTTAGAGGTCAGTGTTTCATAATAGCTGTGATTTTAGAGGTCAGTGTTTCATAATAGCTGTGATTTTAGAGGTCAGTGTTTCATAATAGCTGTAATTTTGAAGGTCAGTGTTTCATAATAGCTGTGATTTTGAAGTTCAGTGTTTCATAATAGCTGTGATTTAAGAGGTCAATGTTTCATAATAGCTGTTATTTTAGAGGTCAGTGTTTGATAATACTGAGAAGGGACTGTTATTACTTACGGTGTTCTGTTGAATGGAGGCTCTACATTATTTTTTCTGTCTACCCTAAATGGCCACAATGTGTAATCTGAAATGGAAAGGATCTATGTCAGGTAAAGATGATATATCAGTTAATAAAGATGTAGAATTGCAAGGATTCAATGTATTGTTATCTAACTATCTAGTTCTGGACAATGTATTGTTATCTAACTATCTAGTTCTGGACAATGTATTGTTATCTAACTATCTAGTTCTGGACACACAGTTTCTTTGAGGACAATCTCGAGTTACGGGCGAATTTTTGATCGGTCAATAATGGATTGTTGCTTATATATAAGTTAGTCCATGACTCTAGCGCGATATCTCGATTCGATACTATAGTTTCTACACAAACTAATATGTTCGTTCTTTACGTCCGTTCGAATTACTGTATGAATTCAGAAAAAGTCAAACAGAAATCGTATGGCTAAAACATAGCCTAAGAAGGTTGAAGCGTAGTTCTATTATCAATAACCTAGTGCCCTTACTGCGAGTTAAAAAAGGGGACTCAAGATATATTTGCTTTATCTTATATATGGTTCATTTACGGTATGCCTTACAAGACGTATTTTGTGTGTATTTCTCACTAACATATTTAATTCGACTGACAAAAAGGTTTTAATTTCTACATAAATGGTCGACACGATTCAATGTATCAGATATTAATTTAACTTGTCTGTAGACGTAGTGCTATAGTTATGCCGAGAGTAAAATATAGTTCACGGGAGAGGGTACTAGCAATTTATAATTAGTGCTGCTGATTGGAAGGATGGTTACAACTAAAAGGTTTAGAACCACAAGTATTGCAGATTTTTTAGGAAAACTATCAGTTCCATTCGTAAATTAATGTAACTGTGGGCATATTTATACATTTCAGTATACAGAATTAAAACAAAGTTATTTAAAACTCAAAATAATAATCTAAATTGGGTAACAACGTTCACAAACTACGCTTAAGATTTCCATACGTGACCTACAGAAATGTATGGCTTTTCGACATTTTGTAAAGTACGATTAATTGTAGATCGATTATTGTCTGGTGAAATAGGAATCTGATGCAGACCTATACTACAAATAATCTGTTAATAAAATCAGCTAATTACCGCTATAACTTAATATAACGAGACACAGGATATCCAGCCTTCTTTAAGAATCAAACCTTCAAAAGCTTTAAACTATCTCAACACATTTGCTTTACATAAACAATATGTAAACTAGAGTTCATCCCAAGTTATGCAAGTGTAATCATCTTTTATAGACCAAATGGGTTTCTCCTTCAAGCTTACATTTTTTTATTTACAGGAACGGTAATTTGAATTACATGGCAAAAGAAATCTCTTTTCATTCATAAAATCACTCTACAGACAAACAAATACATCATGCCTTTCGTTAGGTAATAATCATTAAGATAATTAAAACTGATGTCACATGATCAAACAGCTGTGAAGCATGTATGACGCTGATTGAATTTTCATCTGTTTCTTTTAATTATTGTTTTTGTGTGGAACTTTAATTAGTTTTTGTTATGTAATCGACATGGTTTACCTGTGCATATAGATCAACAGAGGAATTTAGTGGCAAGTCATGGTATCTGGCAATTGAATATGAACAACAATTAGTTCTGATCTCTGTCTCTCCTTCTTGGTTAATGAAATACCCAAAATATCTGGTAATTACCGAAGTATCCTTGACCGTTCTTTTGAGTGTCTTACGTGGTACAGTTATTGTCAAAGATAAGGGCATATTCACTTTTAATTTTAACGAACATTTAGTTTAATTTATTTCCATAACAATTTAGACATGCGAACACCACTCCTTATTTTCGACTATCTGATGCACTAGAGTATGGTGAAAACTACTGCTTTTGTATGGGGACATATGATTGGAACCCCTCCTTTTTATATGACTTGCATGTGTTGGACCCCTTTAAAATGGCTGGATCCGCCTCTTGAACTATGTTTTCCCAAATTACAATTTTAAACAATTGTTTTGGCTAGAGTGTACAGCAGATTTTCGTCTGCGTTTCTATTTGCCATTGTACATGTAATAGAATGGGGTTTGCAATCGTATAAAGCAGAATTTCGTCTGCGTTTCTATTTGTCATTGTACATGTAATAGAATGGGGTTTGCAATCGTGTACAGCAGATTTTCGTCTGCGTTTCTATTTGTCATTGTACATGTAATAGAATGGGGTTTGCAATCCTGTACAACAGAGTTTCGTCTGCGTTTCTATTTGCCATTGTACATGTAATAGAATGGGGTTTACAATCGTGTACAGCAGATTTTCGTCTGCGTTTCTATTTGTCATTGTACATGTAATAGAATGGGGGTTTGCAATCCTGTACAACAGATTTTCGTCTGCGTTTCTATTTGCCATTGTACGTGTAATAGAATGGGGTTTACAATCGTGTACAGCAGATTTTCGTCTGCGTTTCTATTTGTCATTGTACATGTTATAGAATGGGGTTTACAATCCTGTACAGCAGATTTTCGTCTGCGTTTCTATTTGTCATTGTACATGTAATAGAATGGGGTTTACAATCGTGTACAGCAGATTTTCGTCTGCGTTTCTGTTTGTCATTGTACATGTAATAGAATTGGGTTTACAATCCTGTATAACAGATTTTTGTCTGCGTTTCTATTTGCCATTGTACATGTAATAGAATGGGGTTTACATTCCTGTACAACAGATTTTCGTCTGCGTTTCTATTTGTCATTGTACATGTAATAGAATGGGGTTTACAATCGTGTACAGCAGATTTTCGTCTGCGTTTCTATTTGTCATTGTACATGTAATAGAATAGGGTGTGCAATCGTGTACAGCAGATTTTCGTCTGCGTTTCTATTTGTCATTGTACATGTAATAGAATGGGGTTTACATTCCTGTACAACAGATTTTCGTCTGCGTTTCTATTTGTCATTGTTTGCCATCGTAAATGTAATAGAATTGGGTTTACAATCGTGTACAGCAGATTTTCGTCTGCGTTTCTATTTGTCATTGTACATGTAATAGAATGGGGTTTACATTCCTGTACAACAGATTTTCGTCTGCGTTTCTATTTGTCATTGTACATGTAATAGAATGGGGTTTACATTCCTGTACAGCAGATTTTCGTCTGCGTTTCTATTTGTCATTGTACATGTAATAGAATGGGGTTTACAATCGTGTACAGCAGATTTTCGTCTGCGTTTCTATTTGTCATTGTACATGTAATAGAATGGGGTTTACAATCGTGTACAGCTGATTTTCGTCTGCGTTTCTATTTGTCATTGTACATATAATAGAATGGGGTTTACAATCGTGTACAACAGATTTTGAGCTGTATTACTTTTTACATCTGCAGTACTGATGGCCGGTTATAGGATGTTAACACGTAAACAGCTAAACTGATGGCCGGTTATAGGATGTTAACACGTAAACAGCTAAACTGTGTCATTTTCAGTTGTGTTTTTTTTTATCATCATTCCAATAGGATAACACTTATTGGTAAATCAATAGAAAAGACGCTCTCCTTGTGATTTAAGAAACAAATTGTCAATAGTTTATTTACTTCGGGAAACTTCTTGTTTAGAATTATTCAGAAACCACACTCATTATCAATGCCTCCATTTTTTTTAAACGATTACAGTATATATTCACACAAATGCGTATGTCCGCCTATTTGTATCACTCATCGAGAAAAATCAATTTGAAGCTTTTTAATCTGATTTCCTGTCAGCCTGTTAATTTTTGCTGCATATCATACAAAAAGAATTGCAAAAAATCATACAAAGAAAGAATCTTTTTTAATTTCCCGTTTATTGATTTTCAGAATGTTTTTGATATAGCCATACACATCATAACAATGAAATTATAAATTTGCATCTCAATTTTCCGGAATTATTTTTATCAGTCCGATGGTATGACCATGATCTCTTTTTTAATATCTTTTATGACATGACTTTCTATGTTGTTGTTGGTTTTTTTTCAATTTTACCAAAATAATACCACATATTTGCATATTTCATAACCTCGACATTTTTCTTTTACAACGACGATGATATGTTAATCATATCATATATACGAAAGAAAAACAATTTGATTGAACTTTCCACCGGATGAGAACTTGCCACGAGCAACATAACAGATTTTTTCGGTGTTCCCACTGTCGATGTCACTCTGCTCGGCTCTTCATATAATTGCATATCACGCCTTTGTGAAGTCAAATACGTTGACCCGGCATTAATAACTGTGACCAGGACATATCACCGACGTCATAATGAATGAACCGAAGTTGATAAGTTTGACCCGAACTTATCAAGTAATCTTACGGTTTGCTGGTGAAACAAAGAAAAAAAAACTTGTTTCTATCATGCAAAATACATATTACAATCCGATAAATCGATTATCAGATTTTTATCACACTTATATTGTAAAATATCAGCTGCTCGAAACAATATGAAGCCTTTAGAACTCGTTCGCCGCGCTCACTCGACAAAAAGCTTCATATTGTGACTCGCAGCTGATATTTTACATTATCAATATTCAGACAACCTAATAATCGGTACATATTAGTGGAGCGGGCACTGATGACCATTCATGAGTACTCGAGTTGGCTCCAAGGATTGTGGCGGACTTCATTTTACTAAATCTTCAATTTTACGTATAGTGCTCTGTAGATTGTTGTTTATATATAAAATTTTTAAAATGTGGTATAATTGAGACAAATCTCCACCAGAGACCAAAATGTTTGTCTGTTTATTTGTTCGTCTTTATCCTTTTTAAATTTTTTTTTATAATGGGCCTTTTATGGGCGCATTACATTTTCGCGCATTTGTCTATCATTTTATTTTTACGTTTACGAGCAGCTTTTTATAACATTTGCGCGCATTAACTTTACAGGTATTACAGGTTTTACAGGTAAAGATATTTCGTAATAACTATGTCGATAGTTATTGATTTTGAACATATATATCATTTTGAATTATTCTAAAAAAAATAGTAAGTGATCATTAAAAATTCCACAATTGCTCTATCAGGCCTAAATGTAACTTATTAGTGCGAATTTT